TTTTTTTTAAGGTTAGTATAATTATTCTTTTGAACTCTATACCAGTGCCCTGTTATAAAGATTATGATAGAATATAATAACAATAATGATAATAATAATGTTAATATTAAGAATAATAATAGGTATAATAGTAATTAAAATGATAATATAAATAGTAGCATTATTATCCTAAGTAATAAAAATGATGAGGACAGCAATAATAATAATAATAATAATAATAATAATAATAATAATAATAATAATAATAATAATAATAATTAATATAATAATAATAATAATAATAATAACAATAAAATAATAATAATAATAAATAATAATTATAATATTGACGATCATGTTGATAATGATTATGATATAATGGTGATGATGATCATATATGATGATGATGACAATGATAATGATAAGGATGATATGAATAATGAAAATAATACTGATAATGACAATGATTATACTTATATTTGAAGATGATAATGATCATCATGACGATCATGATGATCATGATAATGGTAATGATGTTGGTGATGGTAATAAATATGATGATGATACCATAGCAGTAGTAGAGTAGTAGTAGTAATAGTAGTAGTATAATAATATATAATAATAATAAATAATAATAATAATAATAATAATAATAATAATAATAATAATAATAATAATAATAATAATAATAATAATAATACCTAAAAAGTCGAGATGAATGCTAAGCAAAATGGATTAACAGACATGGTATATATATCTACTGATAAAATATTTTGTATTTCTGGCTGTGGGACTTAAAGACTATGGCATTTTATGACGAAAATATGCATTTCCCTGAACAATCATAAAAAGATCTTTAAAAAATACAACGCGCATTCAAAACAATAAAGTAAGAATAAATAATAACGGTAAAATAAATCAACATCTCTTATATAATTCTAAGAAACTCATCGACATAGTAACTCTTTTCCTTTTAACCCAGCCACCCACTTTCCCGCGCATTCCTGGAACATTTATAACTTGAACCCGCTCTCTCTATCCCCACCATTAATACCAGGGAGTTGCAAGCTTTAACTTAATAAGGGACAATTTCGATGTGAAAGAGCAATACGTCTTTGTTTTGGCAATCTCGCTTTAACAACATTAAATGGCAGAGACGGGATGTGGCTGGTAGCCATGGTAACGCCATCGTTGTTCTTGGTACAAATTACATTTTGTTCCAAGGCGTACAATTTCAGCGGAAGCTTAGAAAAGAACGTAATATAAAGGAAAATAATATTATTGACAGATATTTACTTACTGGATGACTTTCAAAGCGTGCGGTTTGACTTTAGTTTTTGTTTTTCTTTCTTTAATTTGCGAAAACGATTTTTTTTTCAAGAAAATGGTAAATTGCCCAGTGAATTATGAAATTAATCAATAGCAGTTTGATTTTTTCCATCTCAATTAAAAGAACGTAAATAATTGTATATTTATACCTATTGTTGGCATCTTTTTTTGATAGCATAGAGATACCCATAAATTGCAGTATCTTACACATTTCCATAAACCGTACCTTTGATATATCGCAGTCCTGATATTAATCTACCACTGATTCAAGGAAGCTTAATATAAACATCTCCATCCATTCAAATGATAACCTATTATTACCTGCAATAGAATTTCGTCATAATGGTTGCCAATTTAGAAACTGACGCTTTGGGGTCGACAGTAAGCGTGCTCCAATACGTATGCTGCGAGCGGAGTTTCTGGGGCGCTGAGACTCGCCTCAAGGGAAAAAAAAAACAAAGAAAATTAGCTCTACTAGCAGCAATTTAAGCGATGACCAGCGATATAAAGGTATAACTTAGGCAAAAACAGCAGGAGTGTGGCCTTTGGGGGAACGGGGCGGGGGGGGGGGAATCAGTCTTGGAGATGGCAATAGTCCCCCCAGTCCCCCTCCCCCTAAATGACACCCCCTCCCCCCAAATGACGTCCCCCAGCGTGCCTAAGATAAGAATGCTGGTGGTGATCGTGGCGATGGTGACGAAGATGATGATGATGTTGGTGAAGATATCTTTACAAGTGAATGAGAGTTAAATCAATATCAACAATAAGAACTTAAAATACAGCATCTGGTACATTACTTTAGAAAACCATTTTATTTTCTGTTTTCTACTCACATGAAGCTGCTGAAATGTTCAACCGTTGAACAGTCCGTAAATGTTAATTTGGAGACTCATTTCGGATATAATACATAATGTTCAACACAAGGAACATAAACACAACACAAGCATACCGAGATCTAAATAGCACAGCATTTCGAAGCCTCAGTGAAGCTTCGAGTCTGCATATTGAACCCCCAAATCCCGTAAAATAGGTTTGAATAACGATACAAGAGATGTGTGTTTATTGTACACTTACATATTTATGATAATATGAAGTAATGACTTTAATCGTGCTTCATCACTCTGGTGTAAACTATGATTTATATGAACTCTTTGGGTCGTGAAAATTAATCTCGATAAACACATTTCAGTAGATATTTATGGCGTATTGGAGCAGTCGGCGTCAAGTCCTCAGTGAATTGAAAAAATAAATGTATTTACTTTGGCGATTATATATTTTTTTTACAATACTAAACATCTCTCTTATTTCGAAAACGTTCAGCAGCTCTACGGAACTACCCAGCGATCCACCATCTCGTTAAGGTGAGAAGTCTTCTGATCAGTGTCTGCAGATAAAATGCGAATGGCACAGACGGACACTCGCTACATGAAATTCTGAATAAAAAGTGCGTTATATAAGCGAATGTCTTTCATCACAAAGAAAACGCGACCTTTTCCCATTTTATTTTGAGTACTTGTAATATATATTAGATAAATATCGAATCGCGTCTTTGTTTGCAAAGGTTATGTCACTCTACTTCTACCAGCTGTTGCAAATAACACCGAAGATTTCCGAAGTTTTCCAAATATATTCGGTTAAACTGTTTATAAGCGGTTGTTAAAATTGCATGACGACCAACCTAACGATTATATACTTGCATTTACACAGAAATATGCGTATATTTGTTTATATATGTCTACATACACACACACACACACACACACACACACAACACACACACCACACACACACACACACACACACACACACACACATATATATTATATATATATATATACATATATTTATATATAATACATATATATATGTATATATATACATATATATATATACATATTTATTTATATATATATATATATATATATATATATATATATATATATATATATATATATATATATATATATATATGCATAAATAATGCATATGCCTTTAGTTTTGTTTATACGCATGTCAATAGGTGAGAATATTCTTTGCGTCTGGCCTTTCAGCATTTTAACAAAGCTTCTGATGTGTACTGTGCAACGTAAGGATTCTCTATCATACACTAACGACTAATGAAACGCTAATACAAAGACTGCTTATAGATTTTCATTGTAAATCATTCATTTCCAGACGGCTTAACAGCTTGACCGAGCTCCAAGATCCGAATCCACGTCCTCCATAACTGACCTTGGGTACTTGTGACCTCACTCGAGTCCGCAAAGGGTTGAAAATGACCTGAGAATCGGTATATTAACTGCGTTGGTTCATTGCTTGCACCAGATACCCAGTGTCACTTAATGGTTGTCACAACAGACACAATTTGCAACATGAGTCAAGTGAGCGTTTTCGGCGGGGACGACGTTGCCGTGGCCGACCTGTGGTCTGCCAGGACGCACGGAAGGTTCCTCGATGTCACCCTGGTGTGCAGGGGCGGCGCCCTCCTGTGCCACCGCGTGGTCCTGGCAGCTGCCTCGCCCCTCCTCGCCGCAGAGCTGCGAGGGGCGCACTCCGTCATCAGCCTGGCTGACGTTCCCCTCCAGCAGGTGTACCTCGTGCTGCAGGTCATGTACCGCCAGTCGTTCTCCTTCCCGCACGCGGATCTGCCCGGATTCCTCGCCGCTCTCCGCCGCTGCGGCGTCGACCCTCCCCGATACGCCGTCAGCCGCGCTGACGTTCCTCGCGTGGAAGGCTCCATCCTTCGGGCTTTGCTGAGCCGTCCTGCAGATGCTCCTCCGCTTCGTCAGCTTGCGAGGGAGACGTTTTCCAGTCCATGTCTGCAGGAAAATTCAGTGACATCCTCCAGCGACGAACGGCTTTGCTGTGGAGGATGGTGGGGTTCTTCAGAGGCTCTTGAACAACACCAGATGTCTGAGGAGCATCAGTTACAGTGCAACAGCTATGACGATGGTTTTGTAAGTAGTTCAACTTGACAATAAAAAATATATATAAAAGCTATTGATTATGATATTCACCGACAGTTGCCAGGCAACAGTGCCTTCCCAGTCTCTAAATCGAGAGTAAGTTGGCTAAGAAAGATTTGGTTCTTGGACGATCTCTTGTTCCTTTCGTGTGGTCGATATATACATACATACATGCACGTGGATCCTCCGTTCTTTGTTGAGCCGCGCGCGGGTGCTCCACTTGCAGCTTGAAAGGGAACCTTATATACTAAGTTCAAGGAGAACTAAGTGATGACCACCTTTGCTGTGGCGTTGGTGGTGTCCTTGCGAAGTTGTGCCAGACATCAAGTGTCCGAAGAGTATTTTTTAAATGCAACAGCAGTGTAAGAATACAACTTACTAAGTATTAAATTATAAACGACAGTTTATATACTGGTATTAATAATATATGAATGGTGAGTTGCTTTGCTCCTCAAATGAGGCACCGAGTTCATCGAAGGGATCCTCTGGGATCTCCGGGAGATCCCTTGCCTGGCGCTCCTTTGTGTCATCGCGCGTGGCGGTTTCTCGTCTTCCCTTCGACTTACGAGGAGCTCGGCGTGGATTAGGACTTACTATAGGGGGTGTCAAACCGCCGGACTCTTAGCTGCACACAAACGGACACAGAGAGTTCGTTCAAAATCGATACATCGTTAACATCCACTTTTTGCATTTCATTGCTCATTGGAAGTCGACGTGGCGTGATTGACTTCAACAACAAAGGCTATATCGGTAGATGCGCGTTTTAAAAGAATAGCATGATAGATAAAATCGTCAGAAAAATAAGTTGGGAGATAGAGAATATAGAGGAGTTAGATGTGAGAAGAGAGAGAGAGAGAGAGACTGCGGTATATTCCAAAGATAGGCAGAGAAAGAAAGTGATACAGTCTAGGGGAAAGAGCGGAGAAGAGAGAGAGAGAGACTGTGATACACTCCAAAGGCAGAGAAAGAAAGTGATACATTGATATATTTTTGTTTTCACTAATCTCTATTGAATATCTGTCCTAAATTACCATTTCTACAAGTACTTCCAACATGCCAAAGGAAGATCATACCAGAAAAAAATCTACTTACCACAGCAATTTCATCTAACAATCAATGTGGTTTGTGTTAGTCATGTAAATCAATACATATGACTGCTTGAAACCTTAAAAAAGAAAAGGCATAATCTATATCACAATTCACATCAAAAGTAAAGAAAAAGAAGGCATTCATTTTATAATTCATTCGATACAGGGCAATCGTCCTCAACTCACTAATTCACTTCCCTAATAGACATTTACGGCCGTCCATTGTGAGATTGATAGTCCGGTTGTATCACAAACGGCCGCTTCCTCTGCCCTCCTCATAAGAATTCCTTCAGACCTTTTCTTATTCGCGTGTACCCTCCCCTCCCTCCATCTCCAGCTTCCCTTCTCTCTTTTCCCTTCTCTTATGTTTTCTTCATCCATTCCCTCTCCCTCTTTTCTTCTTTTTCGATCATTTTTCTCCACCCCTTTCCTTTTCTCCTCCCCATTCTTTCTCTCCTTCTCATCTCCTCCCCTTTCTTTCCTCTCCTTCCTCTTTCTCTCCTCCCTTTTCTTTCCTCTCCTCCTCCATCCTCCCGTCTCTCTCCTCATCTCACTCTTCCTCTTTCGTTTTTCACGTTTTCTTCCTTTTCCTCTTTTTCTTTCTTTCCATCCCCTTTTCCCTCAACTTTCTGTCATCTCTTCTTCTCACCCTCTCTTCCATCTACGTCACCCTTTCCACTGTTATTTCTCTCTTCCTTCCTCCCCTACCTCCACCTTCTTCTCCTCCCTTCCGTCACCTCGTCTTCTCGTCCCCCTTTCTCCCCTTCTCCCTCTGTTTCCTGTCTTCCTAAACTACACACCCATCCTTCCCTCTCCTCCTCCTCTTCCTTACCCTCTGCATCCCTCCCCCTCCTACTCCCCCTCTTCCTCTCCTTTCCCCTTACTCTCTCCCTAGGCTGTCTTCCCCCTCCTCCTCCTCCTCTTCTTCCTTCTTCCTTCCTCCTCACATTCTCTCCCACCCAAGCCCCCTACCCCCCACCCCGCCCCACCCTCATCTCTACATCCTTCTCTCGCATTCGCAGGCTGGGGGAAAGAGCGGGAGGGGGGAAGGGAGGGATAGGGGAGAGGAGGGGAAGGGAGGGATAGGGAAAGGAAGGGAGGGGAGAAGAGGGCAAGGAGGGATGATTAACGACATAAGACTTTCAAAACAACTCACTTTCCCTCTCCCTCCCTTCCCCCCGCCACCCTCCCCTTCGGCGTAAATGGGGGGGAGGGGGATGAGTGAGGGTAAAGGTAGGGGGATGAGGCGGGGGGGGGGGGCGGAAGACACGAGACACAACACAAGAATATGAACTAGAAAAGGTAATAAGGGACAAGATCGATAAAAGTTGTTATAAAATCTGCGACCGATAAAGACAGATGTAGTACGAGAAGCATTGAATAAAAGGTATAAAAAAGAGAAACATTCGATAAAAAAAAACGTAACATGTGAATAAAAAAATTATGAAAAATACAATAAAGGGAATGTTTGATAAAAATGAAACAAAACATCACAGAGATATAAATAGTAACCGTAGGACGCTGGCCTTCGGATGCGTATGTTCTCTTTAATAACATGATGTACAAGACATGGTCTCATTTCTGACAACGCGGCATCTATCAGTTCAATCAATAAATGTCACATTAAAAGTTATTGTTCAAGCTGCAGAAACTAGAGATATTTGATAGGTATTAGCGTATCAAACAGAAGAATTTCATCTTTAAATGTAAAATGTTCAGATATACATACCGTACTTTAACGAGGAAGAATATCATGAATTGCAGAATGAATGTACAAAAAAGAGAAAAAAATGACAACAAAATCAGGAAAACTTTCGAAAAAAAAGAAAAAAAAAATGCAGAACACGCGGCAAGGACAAACACGTACTGTCGATTAAATAAATTGAGTTTAATCTCCTTTA